TTTTAGAGCTTTGGTATTCAGAATTGCTTCTTCATGGATGGCATGGATGCCTGCCATGGCCAAAGACGTCTCTACCAGGACTCAAATTCAAAACTACACAGGGCAGATGTTTCTTTAAGAATCTTCCGGAGAGCAAAATTAATTCTCTTACAGATGTACAGCTTATTTTTTCAGGCTCCAATTACTAATATCCATTGCTCACTTTCTACTTACCTTTTGGGGGCACAGGAATTTTAGACCTTCAAAATTGTGGAATATATCTGTGGCCACTCAATGCCTCCTTTCTTTGAAAAATACATTTCTTACTGTCACTCTTAGTAACTTCACGATGTGGAATTTGGAATGAGGCTGACCAGGATATTTTCTTGATCTTTGCTATTTATTACACATTAGTTAGTTTTCAGTAGGAAACTGCACTTCCCATACCTTCTTTCATTCAAAGTACTCTCTCACCTATGGTCCGGCTCCTCATAAGACTACCCAGCTATTTTCTGCTCTGAAATAACTAAGTATAACTTTCACCATAGACAGTTTTACATGGTTCCATTAACAATGGCAGCTCAACTAATTAAAACCATGAGCAACCAAACATTCAAAGCAGACCCCTCAGTTCCTTAAATATTTTTAAAAATTGTGTGAACCAAAAAGCAGCATGCTTGTACTGCAGCAAGAAAGGCAGCAATTCAGATCTGAAAAAGCCAAAGTGTTCCTTAACAACCCACTGGTGCTGTGTGAAAGAAGTTCCATGGTCCAGTTATCATTAAATTCTATATTTAATGCTACCTCAGATAAATCTAAGCAGTCTAACCAAAACATAACCCTGACTACTGAGCTGACAGCCTTGCCCACAGCAGCGGGTTTGGAGCTTGAGGATCTTTAACGTCCATTCCTATCTATGCCAGTCCGTGATTCTACGGAACACACCTTACAGAGCCAACAAGTGCAAAAACAAACAGGAACTGACAGAGGACCCTGAAAAGACTGCAAGGATTAAGAAAGAGGGGACCCATCAGGAGAAACACCTCATCCAGCTTTGTGTAAATCTCCAACATAAGCAAGGGAAGAGAGCGATCTTCAGGTTGGCATAATTACACTCACAGTCAGTTCTTCACTTGTGCAACACAGTTATGTACGTGTGCGTGTGAGTCTGGAATGCAAGACAGACACCTTCCTTACTGGAGAAATAACCTTAATAGCAGAGGTTAGTTAGACAAACTAGCTTTTGGTCCATTAGAATATTTACCCCACCATTCTGAAGAGCTTTCAGAGAAATTTGGTGTTGGAATCACCGCGTGAAATTCTACTGACTGTAATTCCAGTGATAAGATTTCGGTTTAACTTCTTTTTCCAAAGCCATTTCTCTTTCCACCTGTATTCTTTCCTCAGTGTTAAGATGTCAAATTTAAAGTAAATATGTTGTCTGGCAGACAGGTCTCACAAAAATGCATTTTGGAGAGCAAGATCCAAAAAGACTCATTTAATTATATAGCCATTCAGTCCAAAATGAATTAAAAAATATACATATATATTCTTCTTGTTCTAGAATCCTGTTACAAAGTCTGTTGATTTAGTTTTAACATTTGGATTCTAAGACTTCACTTTTCACTTAAAGGAACAGAAATGAATCAATTGTTCTGTAAGGTAAAATTCTAAATACAGAGGAAATGCCAAAATTTGCAATCAGCCAATTTTTGCGTGTGTACAATTTATGTAATAGGAGCTTTCTATTTTATTGTGAAAACACAAGCCATGGGTAGAAGGTAAAAGATGAAATACTGTTTTCTCATACAGACCTCCAGGTCTGCAACTTCTGAGCAATTTAGAATGGAAATCACCTGCCCTCTGAAAACAAGATGACAAAAAACCTCACCCCACCTCTCAGGCTTTCAGCTTAGGTGCATCTGTACCTTGGGAATAAACAAATGAGGATGGAGGCTGTCCTTATTGAATAAACGACTAGATTTGCTAGAGATCACCACACAGGCAAAGGCCCCAACACAGACCTCTGGAGAGTGGCTTTTTTCCCCTACAAGGAGTGCAATGCTCTCCACTAACAGAAGAGAGGCTAATGCCTGAAATTCCCCCAAAGGGTGCGAAGTAGAAAGTTATGTGCTTTTAATATATCATTAACACTGTTCAAAGGATATTTACAGAGCATTTATACAGTGTTTCCATGCAAAACCCACTGATGCCTTCTTAAACCATGAAGCAAGGTCTTTGTGGACTTCATAGCTAATGATTTACTCAGTTAAATTCTACTGCATGTCATAAGGTAGATGACTATAACATCATTTTATGATTTAAAAAAAATTCCCATTATCATTAAATCTTTCCTCAATGTGTCCCCACCACACAGTTGAGAATAGTCAACATATATACAGTATTCCTAATGTAATTACTGTCCAGACCAAAGAAAAAACTGCCTGTCCCATAAAACTCAGCAGTTCCAAAATTCATTAGTGGTGTATGCTGGTCAAATTCTGGAGCGTATTACACAGAGCTGTGAAGGCCACACAGCTGTTCCGAAAGTTAAAAGAAAAATTTTAATAACTGATAATTTGAACTGGGGCTCAAGCCTCTCACTGAGCCTTCGTTCCCAAATCCTAGACAGAACCTTGGGTTTCACTGCAACTTTTGTGAGGCAGGTAGCATTTACTGATGTCAGAAAAGTGTGACAAGGACTGTACAGTTATCTTTCTCATTCAGGAAAAACTGAAGTGGGTTTTGTGGATTTATTGTAATGAATTGATTTCAAGTGCAATACAAGTCTTGGGGGCAGAGTTAGAGCTTGGACCAGTTCCAGCTTGCCAATTTTCATTAGTAACTCTTCTTTATCAGCAGTCAGAGCATCACTGCAACAATCGGCATGTCTCTGTTTTAATGTTCCTTACATCTCTCCATGAATACAGAGTTTATTAGGAAAATAAGGACACAGAGAGAATTAATATTTTAGGAAATGGATGTTTCTGACATAGACTCTTCTGGTCAAGTTCTTAGTGAAGATATCTATAACATGAAGCACAGGTATGTTCTGTTATATCAAACACAGTTTCTAAGGGTTCGTTACCACTGGGGCTATGTTCCAATCTCCTCTGAAGTGGAATATTCCATTTGTTTAAGCCAGGCATTCAATTAAATGTATAAATCCTTCCACTGCTGTATTATCTCTACCTGCAGGGCTGAATCAACAGCATCAGACGTATAGTCTTCCAAGATACAAAGCTCTTACACAGCAGTTTGCTGTCAGGAAGCCCCCATCTTCCCCGCTCTGGCAGAAACATTGCCAGAAAAAACTTCTTCCCCTGGGAAGCCCAAAATAAAACTGTTGTGCATGACAAGGATTCCCTTCGAGCAGCCTAGTATCTGGATCACAAAAACAGATCTTCAAGAAAGCCTGACTTTCAAAGCCTTATAATAGCTAATAATGTGTTTATTAATTCATCATTTAATTCATTAAGCAGGCCAATAATTATTTATCCATCTGGCTTCACACTCATATTATTTGTGTAACAGCCATCTATCTTATCACTCATACAAATAAAATGTAAATGATGTATTTTTATTATAATAGTTTTAATTACTGATCTGGATTAATCAAAAATAGCTTGCACTAAAACACAAACTACTGATGATCCTTATAATTATTTTATTGTATATAAATTGGTATTAGAGCATACACTGAGGAATTTATTCTCCCAAATCAAAAAGTGGAGTGGAGAAGGGATCCTGATCTGAGATTGGTGTTTATGGTCACAGGACACTGCTGGTGGCAGATCCTTAAGGTACCATCTTCAGACAGAATTCAAAACAGATTGTGAAAAAACAAATACACCACGTATCATCTAACAATACCAAGGGAAAACTACTGCACTACAAGAGCTGCAGTCTTCCAAGGAGCCCAGTTATTCTGAGATGACATGCACCTGGACTACAAGAGGAAAAAGGCAGGACATCAATGACCAATTCAATCTAATTTGAAACTACATACTTACAACCACCTGAAAAGTGTTTGACAACAGAAATTTAACGATGCGTCACTACTTTGCAAAAATCAAGATCTTCTTTTGGACTTAAAAGCATGCAGTTGCTCTTAGATCTAAAGTCTCCCACTTCTTTTCCAGCACCTTGCTGAAAACCCACCCTTCCCTTCAATATTTTACATGTTACCAGAAGAGCATTGGGCATGTAATGCATGCAAATAAAGCGTTCCAAGAAGAACTTTACCCTGCTCGTGTGTTCTGGCATACTGTTTACAAAAGATAATTAATTATAAAACACTTATACTTTTGCTAGTTTAAAAAACAAAACAAGCAAACAAAAGCAACACAGAAATTCAATACTGACTTGCAACTTTCCTAAAAAGCTCAAATTTTTAACAAAGTTCTGCCTTTCAAATAAAATGCAAACATAAAAAAAATACATAAAAGATAAATTCTTCCTTTCAATTTCAAATTACCATTGGGTATATTTGCAAAGAAAGTAAAAGCACTACAGTAACATAGGATATTAATTTTCTGAATGTCACACTATTGTCCAATTTTTCCTTCGCATGACTGTGGTCTTCTTGGGGTGAATGTTATCTTTTGCCTACATCATCTTCTGCCTGCTAAACCCAGTGATTCTACCACTAGTATTTTACTTTTAACAAGTTCCAGAGAGAGACTTTTGTACCAAGGCTTTTAGCTTTTCCTCAGTTCTCAGTTCCTTGTTATTCCCTGTCACTACCAGCACGCAGCTCCTCTGCCCATGCAACATAGCATGAGCATACACTTTCTCTCATCCAGCATCACACCCAGTGCATGCCCAGCCTGGCACAATTCTCACCGTATGCTAACTCCAGTTGCAATTTGAAGGCTAAAGCTGCATGTGATCCAGAATACATAGAAATTATATGCACAATATAGAGAAACGTGGCAACCGCAACCGAGTGAGCAAAAAAGGTAAAGAGAGAAAAATGTGATACTCCAGTTTTCTCTACATTATAGTTCATCTTTTCTTACCTTTGTAGTCCACTGGTTTTGCATGCTTTAAAAGTTCCATGCATTTTGTTTCCTCCTTGTGAATCTCCAGCTGAAATCTGCATTCTGGATGGACACCAATCACCTGTGTCAAATTAACAAAGAAGCCAGGGTCTTGAAACACAAATCAAAATGCTTTATGAAGGGTGCAACTACTGATAGTGAAAACCACAACCTGAACTGATGCAATTTTTACCAAGCATGTGCTGGGCATTTTACACACACAGTCGGTGCCCATTTTGGCTTCTCACATAAGGACTTCTCAGAACAAAATATTAAAGTAATGCACCAGAGCATTTAATGATTCTCCATGTAGCATTCCAAAGCCAATTGTCATTTACACAAAAATACTTAACTATCTAGTGAATTCACTAATGCTGTTGCTTCCCTTTTTCCAGAAAAGCAATTGGTTAAACTGAAGCAGGAAAATAACACATTTGCTGCTTCCTCCCCTCCCCCTCATCTTTCTTTAAGCATATGCTCTTCTATTAAGTCAGGAAGCTGAAAGTTTTAATATGAGTGACAGAACATGAAAACTGGTCAGCCTGTATTATCTTTGACATGGTAAATTTTGATTTTCTTCTTCCTTTTTCCACCATGTATACTTTATCTCTGAAGGTCTCAGAGCATGATTGTTTGATTCAGGCAAGTGCTACACGGGAAAAAAAGCCTTCCTTTTAAAATCCTATTTTTAAAATTGTATTCTCTTCATTCACTTACGGCTCTGGCTCTGCTTATTTATGTTGATGGGAAGAGACAGGGATGGAGATGGGAGACAGAAAAAAGGCACCGGAAACTGGGCTGATATCAGTTGGATTCTCAGAGATCATAATGAAATAAAACATCGGTATGTGTACTTCAGTCATCCAGTAGAAAGAAAAGACACATACCTCCACAGTAAAAGCGAGGTATCTTTCCTCCTTTTTCTAGGAGACAATAGCAGAGTCTGGTAATAGCCTATGATTCATTACACACAACTTTTCATAATGGCAATAATTAATTAATACGTGATTGTAGATCCAAGAACCTTGGAGCCAGAGTTAGGACTGAGAACCTGTTGTCCTACAGGCTCCTGGTAGCCAGGTGCACAGCCATTTAGAACGCAGTGTGGTGGCCATAAGCACAGCAGGGGCTGCTATAAAACTCACGTGAATCTCTCTTCTCCTCCAAACTAATCATTTCACATCAGAGCCTTATCTCCTTTTACCCTATTACGACTATTTTTATTCTGCACTTTCAAGTAGATTTCTTCTAGGGAGTCCAGATTCTTAAATTAGGATTTCCAGCAGTTATCACAGGAAGTTCAGAGTTAAACTGAAGATATCACTTTGCTATGTACTGTCTGCTCTCCAAATAGCTCCTATTTCTAATGAAGGCTTGAGTAAATGTAGTGACTTATCTAGATTTTCCTTTCACGTAACAGATTTTGGAAAGAAAAAGAAAATGCTTTCCCAATTGCAAACATTCAGTAGATCTCTTATGCATCAAAAAGTGTTATGATTAGCAAGTCTGAAGAGGGTGAGTTCCACTGCACAGAAACGTTAAATAGTTGAAGAGCAAATCAAATCAGCTACTGAGATGAAGAAAACTTGCAAATCTTCGACCTCTGGCACTTGTGGAGTAAGTACAGGCTTCCCGCTATCGGTGATCTATAGTGAAGATTACTTTGAGAACATCAATTTGGTTGCACTTGAAGGCAATCACTTTTCAAACACAGAACGTGTGCCAAACCGTACAGCTGCCCCAGCACACAGCCCTCCAGACGTATCTCTCCAGGCTGAGGAGATGGGGGGCTCCAGCCTGACAGCGCCCTGTTACATCCAGGACCCCAGAAGGAATGCCGAGGGCACTCGCTCAGGGCCGGTCACCGAAGTGCATCGCCCTGCTTTCCCAAGCGCAGGTTGTTTGTAAGCAGGGATTAGACGGATCAATGCTTAAAAACGCAGATATGAACGGAAGGCACCTTAAAGGTTTTCATACTCGGGCTGATTTTTACAGCAGCGCCCGTGAAACACCTCGGTCCCGGCGGCGCAGAGCAGCGCCTTCTGCTCCGTCCGCGGCGCCCGCACTCCCTCTCACGAGGCGCTCTCCCGCACCTGCTCCGCTCCGCCTGAGCGCCCGCCGACTTACCCGCCGCAGGTTCCAGCTGAGGGAGAGAAGGAGGAGGATCGGCAGGTTCCTCATGCCAGCCGAGTGCCGGCGGGCCGCGCTGCCCCGCGCCGCTCCGCGGGCCCCCTCGGAAGGCGGCGAGCAGCAGCCGGGTCCCGCCGCCGCACCATAGGGCCCGAGGGGCGCCCGGCCGAGCCCCTGCCCCTCGGGCGGCCGCCGCCCTGAGGCTGTAGGCGGCTCCCGCGCCTGCCCCCGCCGGCCGCCCGCTCCGGCTGGCAGCTCCCGGCCCGACTGTGCACTGCCCGCAGGCTCGCTGCGTTCAGCTCCTCCTCTGCACTCCGGCTCGCTTTCCTCCCGCTTACTCCTCAACCCCTCTCCTCCGCTTTTCTCCTCCTCCCTCTTCTCGCCGCTCCCGCTCCCTCCCAGAAGTGCGAGCCGCTGCCCTTCGACGGGACGTCCCCCCTGCGCCCTTCAGGTGCTCCCTGGGGCTCCTGGCAGCGTTCCCGCTCTCTGCCAGCCTCCTGCTGCCAGAGGAGCCCTTCTGCTCGTACAGAGCAGCCCTCGTGGCTGTCCCAGGCGCACGGAGTGCCGGCAGCGGGCACAGGTAAAAGCACGAACCCACGAACGGGTGTAGGATGTGCCAAGAAGAGACCGGGGCAGGGCAGCCTTACCGCCTCACAAGACATGTAGAATATTTATTTTAGTGAGATTCGTGTGAGCCCATGCATGCTGCCACAGAAAAACAGAGTTCACGAGCTGGCTTTGGGATGAGAATGAGAATAAATTAGGTTTGTTTTTCTGCTGTCTTTATATGTGCTGTAATTTCAATGGTATATATTAAAAGGGACTGAGCGGGCTACGTAAGACTCCTGCACAGTCTTAGGCCACCCAAAATAATCAGCTATAAGCAGAACCAAGGACACTTCTGAGACAAAGCTGAAGAGAGCATTCGTATTTTTAAAATCCATTTGCAAAAATGTTAACAACAAAGATCTGATTATCACCTCTGTGATACCATTAAGAAGAAACACTACATGCTGTACTGAGCAGAGTTACGACCTGCGTGCTGAGAGTAGAGGGAAATGTTAATGTAGAAATAAAGACTTTTTGTAGGATGGCGTATCAGCAAGCAGTGGAAGGATTTTCACTGTAAAAGAAAATTGTACCTCCTTTGGATTGAATTTGATCTGTACATGACAGGTGAACTGAAATGTCAGATAGTATCCATGCCAAAAACAGCTGCTGTGGAGGGGAACCTTCCTGTGCTGATACCTCTCAGCCTCTGGGGCAGACCCACAGGTCAAACATCTTGGAAATGAGGAGCTGCACATTGCAAGGGCTGGGAACTAGATGATCTTTGAGGTCTCCTTCAACCTAAGCCATTCTGTAATTGTGTGATTCCCGAGACTAGTCTGAGGTTCCTCTTTGGTTTCCTGGTTGTTGACACCTGCTAACTAGGACTGTTCTTTCTTCAGAGCCATCAGGGATTCCAAAATAAGAATCTCAATACCTTTTCCCCTCTATTACAGAATTTGATGTCTTACTGTTATTTCTAGTCTTTGAAAAATCCTTACTTCTTTAGAAGTTACTGGCACTTCGTGACGAATGACTCCCTGCTAAGAAAATAGTCATTAAATACAGTTTCTGAGTGAAATTTCAAAATCTCAGGGCTCTTCAGATACTTCAGCAGTAAACTGGACATTATGTCCATCCTCTACCTTATGGAGAGGAGCTGTCATGCAGACTGTCCATCAGCAGAACTGCCTCAGCAGCTGATATAAGAGATGCCAGACACTAAAACCCAGTGTTCAGTTCTTTCAGCAAATGATTCATTAGTCTGCTGCAGCTGAGATTCCTGGGAAAACCAATTAACAAATTAGTGTTAACATTTTGTGTAGAAACATTCTTGGAAATTGTCATTGTTATTCCTTTTGTGGAATGACAGAAATTTGTATCTTGGGTATAAGGCAACCCACATGTTGTGGAATTAGCAAAGAAGTTTTGAAACTTGTGTCTGTTCTATCAGAAGATTGTCCAGAGTCAGATTTTTGTGATATTTTGTTTTCAAAGAGTCAACATTTTGAGACAAAAATTAAAATTATCAGATATTTCCCAGACATTGCTTCTGTCACTATTCCCAATGACTCTTTGACATGAAAGAGACAACAGATGAAAGAGAGATGCATCAAATACTAATGTTTTCATTTAGATATAGCTAAGTATTTTTGTTTTCCTTTTTTTGTCCAAAGAGGACAAAAAGTATTCACAGATGAAGTCTGGAAAATGTAATTCAAGTTATTTTTGCTTAAACATAGCACAGTTCAGTGCACTGTCACAGCAGCTGTAGAAGAAAAATTGAAACAAAAAAATAACTAAAACAGCTGTATGTATGGAGATATACAGAAATTAGACTGATACTCTTCGGCAACCAAGAGTGGATAGTGTTAGGAAGGAAGCAAAAAAGCATATAAACATAAGCAGACTTGTCATTTCCAGGAATGTCCTGGTAAATTTGTAGGAAAGATTAGAGAGATTTCATGGAGGTGCCCTCTTGGCACAGACTGAGCTGACATGCAGGAAGAGGATGAAGTCCAAGAAAGAGAGAGAAATTCCTCCTCTTCTCAAAGGAGATGGTGAAAAGTTTGGTTGAATTGGATAGTGCTTTGAATCAGCAGTATCTGGTGTATAGAATGGGCAATAACATGATTATGGGAATTTAGCAGCAGATAATGGTCCCATTGATTAATGTCAATGTAGATAATGGTCCCATCGATTAATGTCAATGTCCTGTGAGCTCTCTGTTCCCATAACACTTAGAAAAGACAAAAAGTTTTCTTGCATTCCAGATGTTGGAAGAGTCTGCCTACAAAGAAAGATTTGTAGTAGTTACTGTGCCAATAACAAGTACTTTCTGTTCTGTACTGTCGCTTCAGAGACCTCTGTTACGTGCTGTAGGCAATCAGTAGCTGGTCAGATTTTTGCAGGCACATGGAGAAGCTGACAGCTTTCCATACTGAAGTGATTACATTGATCCCCTTTTTGCTGAAGCCTCATTTATGTTGTTTGTGGAGTTCAAGATGTTTTGAAAATGTCTATATACAAATCATGCTCTTGTCTTTGCTGTCACGGCTTGAAAGTTTTTCTTTTCTTCAACCATCTAAAAAACATTGTTTACAGAATTCATACCATACGTTTGCCCCAAATACCCAAACAGTATAAAGAAACTTAGGATTTTCCTCAAAATGCATACAAGCTGTCTTGGACCACGTGACTCTTTCAGGACTGCTGACCTTAAGCTATTGTATGTTTTTCTAGTTCTACTTTCTAGAAGTCGGAGGGATCTTTGTCTTAGTTTAGAACACAGACCTAGGTCAAAGTGCAAAAGGGGTGCTCTTCACACTAAGTCTTTGTGAGATGTTCTTAAATGCCCCATGGTGCACTGTTCTGTCGTCTTGTATTTCATTAGGCCTTGTTTTCTGCAGTGCAGATGTGTAAGGGAAGATTTCATTAGCAATGGAAGTGGTATTTAGAGAGGGTTTCCATGAAAAAGGAAAAATTTGCTTGTGCCTTTCAGGTACTAGTGGTAGGAGCTTTTATTTTGTAGAAAATGAAAAAAAAATCACATCAATATTTTTTTCTGAACTGTTAAAACGTGGTATTATTGAGCCTGTTTCAATTAACCGATTGAAGCACAATAGATAAACTGCCTTTTCTTTGTATGGACTTCCGTGCCTGAGTGAGCCAACGATTCGTGTCCTGCTCATGCTTGTGGGAACTGACAACCTTGGCCAGGCTTCAAGGGGCTGGTGGCCCTGTGAAGAGCTTCATATTGTTGCTACTGTGCAACAGGTGACCATCTGTACCAAATGCAGTAGTTGCTGTCAGAGGTGAATATTCAGATTCTCTGAATAAACAAAAGGAGCTTTAGTTGTTTCTAATCTGCCTCTCCCGTCAGATGTTCACATTCGAAAAGTCCTCCTAACTATTTTGAACTTTTGCAGTCATTGGTGGTCACTGTCTATCTACATCACTTCTTGAACCCAGTGCTTGTTTCATAAACAAAGCAGTGCTATGCAGAAGGGAAAGTTTTCTTAGGAAAGGCTGTACTTAAGCATCATCAGGAGTTCCCTGCTGTCTCTAGACATGAATAGTAGTTCATTCTATAGCTTCAGGCTGTAGCTGAGATCATGTCTGTTAGTGGTAATGCTTGAACTGCTCCATGAACTGCTTTTTGTTTGTTTGTTTTCACACTGGCCTGCAAAATGGCAGTTTACCAATAACAGCATAACAGATATATCCAAACAGTACACTCACATAAGCAACAAAACAATGACATGAAGAAGTCTTCAAAGTCTCCGGAGAGATCTTTCTATAATTTGCAAGTAGCTTGGCTACTAAAAAAAATATGTTTGTACAGCTTAGAAATACAAAGAAGTTATTTAAATATAAAAAAAAGGGGAAAAAAGGAAGACTTCATTTTGCTGTGTTGATTTCAGGACTCACTTCAAATTGGTTTGCATAAGGAGGTGTCTGTAACAATGAAGTCTTCAGTCTGAATGTGGCACAGGGATGCTGTTTGTGGAAGACTTAGTGTGTAGTCTGTAATAGACTTAGGGTAAATTATGCAATTTCATACTCTCTCCCTAAATTCTGTATGATTCTCAAGTCTTCTTTGATTTCAAAAATGACTCTTCAGTGCAAGAAAACTTTTCAATTCTTTGACCAGGGGATTCTATTTTTCCTATTTCCATTGTAAGCAGATTCTTTTATTAATATCTATTGAACATGCTAAATTAATGGGCATTCTGTTATATTAACATGGCTAGAGGGAGTAGAATCTGGTATTTAAATTGTAAAAATTTAATGTAAAATAAATAATTTGGGCAGTGGGTATTCTGGAAAATACTTGGCTAATACCATGTCATATATGATTTACTAAAAAGTTCTATGTTTGATTGGTGATTTATGAGTTTTCCTGAACGTAAAGAAATATTTTCATTTCAGTAAATTAGAAGTAATTTTTATTCTACTGCAACAAGGGACCAATTGTCCCAGTTGGTTTAGAGTTGTTGCAATGGTTACTTATTATTACTTTTTTTTTTTTTTTTTTTTTTAAAAAAAAA